ATGGCCACAGAGGCCACCTCATCAATGAAGCGGTCTGAGAAACCTTGGTGCTTCAACACTTGCTGCAGAGGGGTGTGGGTCCACTCCACAAAGTCCTCCCCTCCCATCGCTTGTAGCATGTCAGCAGGGGTGGCAAATGTTTGGCCCTTGTCTTGTAGTTGATAAATCCTGCACCATGAGAAGGAGGGACTTTCACAAGACCATGGTACCATCATCAGTTATCTTAAGGCTGCGACCAAAATTTTACTTGGCTGAGGCCGTTTTCGGTTTAGTCTTGAGTGTTGAGGTACCCAATTCAAAATAACCTACAAACAATGACTCAATATTGACTCTGTAGTGGTGTTCAAAAAGGGCTTCCTAACTGCTCACATGAAACATCAGTCAAAAAGCAAACTGCACCATGTTCACACACCTGCTAAATGCAGACAGCACAGAATTCACATGATTGTAAATGTAGTAGCAATCCAGTCCATAGCGCCACAGCAATCGCAGTATGGTGATTATGGTCCACCTGCTCTCTGTAAACACAAACTTTTCTCCATTGTAGAACCCAGCAGGCCTGTCATGGCTCGCTCTCTCCTTCAAACCTGCAACCAAGAGGACAAGCAAAAATCAACTAAATAAGTATCAATAATCATTTCACAACCAGGGATGAGATTGGAGGAAAATAAATATCCATGAAATAATCTGCAGAGGATTTAAGGACCCCACAGCAGAGCAGGGTCTATGGTATACATTCTTATTTGCCTCAAGGCAACCCTTATTAAACCCCTTCGTTCGCGCCGGGACGCGTTAAGACGCGCAGTAAAAATTAAGATCCTCAGCCCGCTTTTCAGCTATTATTCTCGGCCCACGCTCAAGCGAACACGGTGAAAGAAGGCAGACCCTGGCTCTTGTACATATGGTAATTGGCCTTTGTGTGTAGCCTAGAAATGAAAAGACCGAATTTGCATCATAATCACCAGCTTCACAATAGTCCCCACTTTGAAAAGAGGCAACGGGAATGTGGAAGCTTGAGTAGAGCTGCATGCCACCGAACAATCAGCCTTTTCACCGTGTAATTCAAAGCGTGCAGAGCACACTAGGCCACAAACCGAGAATTTGTGGTTTGACAGGTGGCCTTCGTGGGCAAGCGAGGCTAGAATTCTTGGAGTCAGTTTTCAGAAAGAAATTCCTGTCAAGAAGGGGTTAAGAAACCCCATTTCTTGTGTTTTATATCAACTATGTTAACTACTGTCATGGCAAACTCATGATGTTCCAAATATTAAAGAGATTATTTGAAAAATCCTGAAACCAAGAAAATCCTGATTAAAAAATCTAGAAATCAGGAAAAATCCTCGCATAACTCACTACTGCATGCCACTGCTCAAAACGCATTGTAACTCACACTGCACATTTGACATGCTTGCACATGTACCACTGCACCGAACTCACAAGCATTCACTATTTGTACACTACCTACGCTGTTATCCAAGATTTCAGATCATCAAAATCAAAGATGATCAATGGATGGTGCACGATTTGCACTCTAGAGTAGCCACCAGGTAAGTATTCCTGGTATTTACATAAAGACAATTCCCACATCTAGGATGGGTTAGTTTTGGGGGGGGGTGTTGTGCACAGCCAGTTGCTATGAACTAAGAATTTTGGCCCCAATTAAATGTCAACAACACACTCTATTAACACAGTTGTAGAGTTGTATGAAACTGCTTGATTCGATGCATTGCATGGGAATTGAATAAATCTTTTGGTTTTTTTGTCATAGAAATGATAACTACGAGAACTTCAAACATGTCAAAGGCATCTGAAATCAACCATTTCAAGGCACAAAAGCCCTAGTCCCAGTCTTGACAATTACACTTGTCAATATGATTTTTAAAAATAATAATGGTACAGTAGCAAAATAAGCCTGACACAGTGCAGGTTAACTACACGTGTGTGGACCTTTTCACTTGGGCAGGAAATTTGGGTATTTAGACAAACAGCCATGCTGAAAAGGACTTGGCAAAAAAGGACTCCTGATGTCCTTTGACAAATACGAAGACACTTCCTTTACTCACGAGTCAGATTGCACTCTCAAACCTCCATATTCCTAAACATTCACAGCACTAAAGTCAACATACAATGTAGCCTTAATGCTTGAGCTTGGAACCTGCTGGTGGAGATAAGAGGAAAAGAAGCACTCTTTCCTTCCCAGATTCTCACCAAATTCCTCCCGGAAGTCCACCATGTACTCATTTTTAGGATGGATGATACTGCCACCGCTTTCGTAGTCGCGGCCAGCAATGTTCACTGTGGCGACTCGTCCCCCTATCACATGAGGCTCGTACAGATCAATAGTTGCTGACGGCCCAAGCTGCTTACGGAGAAAATAGGAAGCTGATGTTCCGCCTATGCCGCCACCTATCACCGCTGGAAAGAATGTGAAAAGAAATCCCTGTACCAAATTTCCCACGGACATTCTTTGAGTTCTTTGAGCACGATGCCACTTCTGAGTGCTAATTTATTGAGGTGTTGATATTCATGATCTCGACAATCCTGACATACAATTAATATCCTCTAGGCAGTGGCTTCTTGACCATGAACTGGTCCAGATATACTTTTGCTGTGCACACTAAGTGTGCCTGGGTACTTTCTAGGTAAAATTACTGCAACATATCTTGTGAATTTATTCACAAGATGCCATTCAGGCCTAGCACAAAGTTTGCTTTTTCCCTTTAATAAATAACCCTCTGAGGATAAAAGTGAAATATTTAGCAATTTCACTCAGGATATTAATATTAAAAACATCAAATGGATAATATTGGAACTGTAGCACCTCAGAATGGACCACATCACCATAAAGCAAAGCACAGACACCTTAAACTGCTTATCTCTACACTCCCTCAGGTAGCCCACAGAGTATTGACTCAACGGTGGCTATAAAATCATATAACATGCAGCTGGTTCATGGCAAAATATAGACATGAGCATAGAACATTAAATGTCCTTATGCAATGCAAAGCCAGCACCATGGCAGTCATGAAACTGCATTCACCATCTAGGAATGGTTCATCTTAAACCAGCCCCACAAATGTGGCTCATATGCTGGTCATTTTGGGGGGACCCGAGCAACCGCTGGCGAGCCAGAGCCTCTCCCTACATGTTAAAGGCCATGGTATCGTATGGCTCACTGTATATACCACGGAGGATCTGTTTTCCTCCATGATTACACATACGGATCTTTGTCCAGTATGATTATGAGCCACATAATGGGGCTAATCTTAAACATGAGAAGGGAACTGACTCCTTGCAAGTAAAATGGTTAATTGGTATCTATCCTAATGGAGGCGTCCATGCAATCTGTTGGGTGTGTGTATGGGGGGGGGCAACACCCAGAAAAAATGTTGCATCCTGAGTCCACTTCAGCAGTTGTGTACAAAGTCTATGGGGAGTGAAGACAATTTTGTATTTCCCAACAACATCGGTAAATGTTTCTCAGTCCAGAATTCATGTCTTTCCAGCATTTCTGTAATGACTGACTTTTATTGTGATGGCATATGATGAGTGGAATCAGGATGCAACATTTCTTCCCAACACCCTCCTAAACTGGGCACAATAGTCTTGCTTCTCACCTACTCGCGGTGACTCTTTTCGGTGGCTGTCCTGTGGATTTTGTGACACTTCAGCGGCACTTGCAACCATCGGCCTCAGATTCAGGCCAAATCCAGTAAAGTTTGCTACAAGAAAAAACAAAACAGACCTCAACGAAAGAGCTAAAATTGCAGCACAGCTGCGCTTAAAATTCGCCCGAATCCCCATAACGAAGGAAGGTGCGCAGATATAGACGCAGAACAGACTGTAGCTCTGAACAGAGTCTGATCGCTTCACTTTTCATTTGACGATCAATCAACAGCCAGCATGCAGGCCTAATTAATTGTCAGCTAGCACGGTCAGTACTTTTTTAGTGGAAGTACATACCGTAGCGACCAGATTGATTTTCAGTAAAATATCCCTACTGGTAAGCAAGGCGCCCTCTATTGTTCCGAAACGTATACACTTTGCCCCCACCGCCTTTAGTTTCGGCTTAATTTTCGGGCCTTTCCGTCTAGTGTTTTTGATTGAAGCATATTGTTTCCTGTGAAGGGTGCACCACTACAAATAAATTCCCATAGAGAGCAGTGATAAATCCCCACACTTCACAAATATTTTAAAAATACTCACAACTCTCACAGGTGTTCAGGCTGCACAGAAAAATGATGTTTCACACGTCCCCTTTCATTTTCAAGTTCCTTTCAATTTTCGGGGGGTTGACCTACGAATTTTTGAGAAATTTTCACCAGAAGCAGATCACCCCTGAAATGAAGAAAATTTCCCTGTCCAGAAAAGTAGCCGTTTTGAAAAACCATTCCTCTGCAAAATGGCTCAAATAGTGCCACTTTCGGACCCGATTGCACCCAAATTGCTCGGAATTGGAAGCCCCGAGTCCAGAGCCCAGAGGTTCAGTCTCAGATTTCTTCAGTTCCCCGGTTCCATGGCTCTCAGGGCCCTCTAACATAGAATATTTTGAGTGTAAAACTCTTATTAATCAATGAGCTCGGCGGGCATATTTCTGGCCTAGATACGAGGGTGCACCCTGAACTGGGAACTGAGGGTTTGTAACAAAAAACTAGCAAAATAAACACAACACAAAAACCCCACAATTCAAACGAAACATGTCTGCCAGCTTTAGTACTTAAACTCGGAGTATTTCACTGAACAAATCCCTGGCATTCTTCCATATTGGTTCAATCAGCCTCTGGAAACAAATCTTCTTCCCTCTAAATGTGTTGAAGTTTGCATATCCTGTGATTGCCTCAGGAGAAAAAAAATTGCCGAGTTGGCCGCACAGACGGATGAAACACGATGCTACTGCAGCAGCCACTCCTCCCCTGCGAAAGATGTGACCCCACCCCCGGGTGCGGCCTCCCAGAGGTGCACAACATGCTGGCACGAATGAAGGGGGAACATAAATGATTTTTTCTTTATTTCACTGAAATTATGCAGTTTTACAGAGGCTTGAAAAAGGTGACACATCAAAGAAAGAACAGCCTCCATCCTGGCAATCACAAGAACCATCAGTGCCCCCTCTGGCAACTTTATTTCCGCCGATCTCATCTTGAGTAAAACGCATGATTAACCATAGTGCAAAAGTTTGACGTATAAATTCACGTACAATTATTACACTTACATGGGAAATAACCCAATTACTGTTAGAAGGACAATAATAGGCTTAATTTGTGACATTCTAAATTTACAATATTTATTGTCTATTAAAATGACCCATTTCAATTGCTTTCTGACAAAAAAGTTAAAATTTCAATAATCTTAAATAATTTATTTGACCTACATGTATTTTTGCAAAATATAACAGGATATTCTTTTTCTGTTCTAATAATTTAATGTTCTTTATGTCACAGTTTGGGATGCAGTCTACAGTGTACTTCTATTCGACAAAATTTGCCGAAATTTCACCAGTCTGCTGTGAGAATATTGAAAACACCAAGACAAGACATCCATTTATCTCATTACGGTCTACAGTTATACAAGACTCATTTGGGAATATGTACAACTTACATGTTCCTTGCAGCCTCAAAAGAGATAAGGCACAAGGTTAGGAACCTGAGCTATTTTCACTTCGTATATATTGAACAATTTGATGTAGGCGCTAATACAAATGTTGCAATCTTATTGATGACATCTAGGTAGATAATGTGTGCTACATAATTTCTGTCTTTATAAATTACCCTTCTACACTTTTTGCATCTAAATATTTACAGTTCTTGATACAATCTATCCATGTGCCTTGAAAGACACGGCCCACATTCTTACAATAAGAAAAGATCAGTACTTCCATTAACTAAACAGCATGAATTGGTCTGCAACTGGACTACAGAATTAAACGTAGGGGAAACATATGCATTTTACGTGTATCTCAAAATAAGCTTTGTATTGTAAGGCAATTCGTAAGAATTAGAAAACAGTATTATCCTTTGAAATCATCAAAATTCCAAATTTGAAAAGAAGCTCCTTTTAAAATTCCCATGATGAAAGACTTCAAAATTGTTCAAGTATTTATTTAATTCTCCCCCTCTCATAGCAGTCAGAATCAGAATAAGGAGGTTTGTGACCAGAAAGGTGCAGCTTCACCACTTTTTTTCCACAAGGCTTTTGCCTTTGAAACCTTGAAGGACAAATTACGCTGTTAAGCTCATGCACAGTAGATAATTTTTGAAAGATCTTGCTTTCATCTGAACTGTTACAATTAACAGGCTTTGTGACATTTCTTGGAGTACACATACATGTATGTGTCCAGGGAGAATTATTGAATGTTTAGGTGATTTCACCTGCTCATACCGACCTACAGTTCCTTTCCTTACTTGCTTTTCATCATGAATTTGCATAGAATCATTTCCTTGCCAGTGTTTACCGGCTAGCAGTGCCACGTTCTTAGCACCAATCACTGACATTTCCATTGCGCTGGCAGCCCATTCAATGCCATTAATGTAAAACAATCCCTCGCTCAAGATGAAAGGTGGCAGGTTGTCGTCAACTGTGTAATGTGGATATGCCAGCCAGTCAACAACCTCTTTGCTGTCATGTGACACAAACAGTGTCTTGATTTGTTCGTCACTCAATAGATCCCCAGAAAACATCTTGTACACTGCCGCACTCGTGTCTTCTGCTTTCCTTTCCCCTTCTGTTGTATTCACTGGAACGTTTTGTGCGAGTGTGCGGATTTTAAGGCTGATGTTGCAGGTCGTTTCAACATCAGGGAGAAATTCATCTGGTTTCTTCCCAAATGCCTGAGGGTTTGGTCGGCCGTGGACGAAAGTTGAAACCGTGTGCTGATACCGTCCACCAAAGGGCCCAATACTTGGCTTGAAGTCCTGAAACTCGATGTTAGAGCCTACACCAGGAGTCAGTGGCGTGGCTACAATGACCATGTCATACTCTGCTGTGGAGATCTGGTTGGTCCCAGGGATGACTGCTGTGATTTCAAACTTGGACTCTCCTTCCTTGGTAATGTTTTTGACAGTGCTCACCTTGGCACGGTGCCAGATGGCTTGGGTGGATTTCAGGAGAGCTTCAGGAATTAGTTTCACGGTTTCCACCGTGAACAGCCCAAAGTCCTGGCTGCATCCATGCCAAAGATACCATACCTGCATCAAAGAGAGATGATTCAAGTCAGCAATCTTTGTTCAAAATCCAAGACTTGTAAAGTAGGGGATACAAAATCTTGAACCACAAGTCAAGGGATGGCAAATTTTGCATGACTGTACATCTGCATCACCAACCACTGACATCTTGGAAGTGGCTTACAGCACAAGCAACTTGTCACATTTTGTAGGCCACTATTTTGTTTTTTGCTGAGAGTCTGTGTACACAGAAAGGGTCAGGTTCAATCAAGGACTAACACTAATCAAGTGAGGTTAGCATTCTACTTCAGATAGTCACAAGGCACCAAACAGCAAGGTTCAAGATGCCAGTTCTTTTTGATGATGTCTGACTGCTGCTCAACGAGGTCCTTTAGCACTGCACGTGTAGCAATCACATGCAGGCTCAATACATTTCATAGACTAACCACTGGTTAGTCATGTTGTGGTTATATTTTATGGCCACAGAGGCCACCTCATCAATGAAGCGGTCTGAGAAACCTTGGTGCTTCAACACTTGCTGCAGAGGGGTGTGGGTCCACTCCACAAAGTCCTCCCCTCCCATCGCTTGTAGCATGTCAGCAGGGGAGGCAAATGTTTGGCCCTTGTCTTGTAGTTGATAAGTCCTGCACCATGAGAAGGAGGGACTTTCACAAGATCATGTTACCATCATCAGTTATCTTAAGGCTGCAACCAAAATTTTACTTGGCTGAGGCTGTTAGTTTCTATTATGTGCAACTCTAGGTGAAGTCACAACAGCCATTAGCCATTAGCGGCTATGGGAGTAAGTCTTATACCCCAGTTGAAGCCAAGTTAATTGGAAGTGGTTTAATACAAACTTCGTAAATACATTTAAAATGGGTTCCATGCATAACACTCATCAGCAAAAGATTACAGTTTCCACAGCAATTGCTTTTTAATCATGTCCATGTGCAGTTCAGTCATGAACGACACTGGTAAATATTCTATAAAATCTCATTGTTACTCAGTCCTACTCTTTTTATCATTTACTGGATTTATTTAAGGTGAATGGTTCCCTCCGTACTTCCGAAGGAAATCGCCAGTGATGACCACTCCCGGTTCTTTTCAGAACCACACACACTCATAAGCGAGATATACTCCTCCGCATGGTGCTACCACAAGCCTTTCCACCTGTAGATGATCCAAGCAATTCAGGCTCCGGCCAACTTTGATCCAACTGCTGTTTAGAATCATAGCCTGAACTTGCCCAATGCTTTTGGCTGAAGGCATTTCAGTGTTTATCCATGATGCTTCTGATGTGCAGACACCTAACAGATGTATGCAGTGTGTGTAGGTTAGTATTGGCAATTGCTTCAACTGGCAATTTAGAATCATGCCATTCTAGTATCTCTCATGAAAAGGGAATTTAGTTCAGAATTCTATGCTCAGAAGTACATCACATAGTTTTTCCCTAGAAGGTCATTTCATTCTTCATATGAAAGTGACCGAGGTAATTTTAAGGCTTCAATAACTGTCATGACTGTAGTGTCATTGTAACTTTTGTCATTAATCCTAATGAATTTGCTTTACACTGAAGTTTGCATGGAGTTTGAACCGGCAGCCATGTCTGAGATGGAGCATTAAAATGGCCCATTGAAAACGCTATACAAAATAATGACTCAATATTGACTCCATAGTGGGGTTCAAGAAGGCTTCCTACTTGCACACAACTCAATAGTCAAAGAGCAAACTGCACTGTGTTCACGTACCTACTAAATGCAGACAGCACAGAATTCACATGATTGTAAATGTAGTAGCAATCCAGTCCATAGCGCCACAGCAATCGCAGTATGGTGATTATGGTCCACCTGCTTTGTGTAAAGACAAACTTTTCTCCATTGTAGAAACCAGAAGGCCTCTTATGGCTCGCTCTCTTCTTCAAACCTGCAACCAAGAAGGCAAGAAAAAGATACACAAGAGGTAGTGGTGGCCATGGTTAGAGCAACAACAGAGCTGTTTTGGATTTCAAGTTGTTTAATGGGGAAAAATAAAATGTAAAAAATTCATTTAAAAAATAACTAAAATGATGTCATTAAATTCAAGGGCTGAATTAAATATTGAAAAATTAAAAAAATTAGAGGATGACGTCATTATGACGTCATCAACCCGATGGGAGACGTACTTCGGGAGATATAGGGCTTTTACGAGGGCAACTTTAATGTCAGGTGACTTGGCAGAGTGCACCTTTAAGGTCACGTGACCTCATGATGTCATCATCACGTGTTCCCTTTTCGTCTTTGGTACATCCCTTTCGAACTATGTGCAAAGTTTCAACCCAATCGGACATGTACTTCAGGAGGTATAGGCCTCTGAAATTTGCACCTTAAATGCCATGTCACATGACATGTGGGTGGACCCTGTCTACCCAGAGGAGGACCGAGTGTGGACCTAATACATACGGTGTCCGATCAAAAAAAGGGCCTAGTCTTGCTGTTGAAAAACGTGTACGAAAATATGGGAAAATATTAAATGTTGTAAATGCCACAGTAAATCAGTAAATCACTAAAGTCAACATACAATGTAGCCTTGATGCTTGAGCTTGGAACCGGCTGGTGGAGATAAGAGGGAAAAAAACACTCTTTCCTTCCCAGATTCTTACCAAATTCCTCCCGAAAGTCCACCATGTACTTAGATGGAGGATACTGCCACCGCTTTCGTAGTCGCGGCCAGAAATGTTAACCGTGGCGACTCATCCACCTATCACGCGAGGCTCGTACAGATCAATAATTGCTGACGGCCCAAGCTGCTTACGGAGAAAATAGGAAGCCGACGTTCCGCCTATACCGCAACCTATCACCGCTGGAAAGAACGTGAAAAGAAATCCCTGTACCAAATTTCCCACTGAAATTCTTTGAGTTCTTTGAGCACGAGGCCACTTCTGGGTGCCAATTTATCGAGGTGTTGATATTCATGATATCGACAATCATGATATAAAATTAATATCCTCTAGGTAGTGGCGTCTTGACCATGAACCGGTCCAGATATACTTTTGCTGTGCAAGTGTGCCTGGGTACAAATCCAGTAAAGTTTGGCACAAGAAAAGACAAAACTGAACAGACCCCGACAAAAGAGCTAAAAATGCAGCACAGCTGCGCTTAAAATTTATTCGAATTCCCATAACGAAGGAAGGAGTACATATACAACCTAAAATACACACTGTAGCTCTGAGTTGAACCCAAGGGCTCCACTTTCTGATTTGACGATCAATCATCTGCGTGGTCAGTGCTGTTTTGTTGAAGTAGTGATTCGTATGTACGATTACATAATGCAGCGGTAGCCGCACCGGTACGGCAGCGACCTGTTGGTGTCACTGACCTTGAACCGGTTATTACCGGTACCTAACCCGGCTGGTAGGCACAGCACCCTCTATTGTTCTAAAACATGCATACTTCTCCCGCGCCGCCATAGTTTTGGGCCCTTATTATGCCCCAGTCACGATTTGCATTCTGTCAAGTGTTTTCCACTGAAGCATATTGTTTCCCGCGAACTGGAGGCTGAGGGTTTGTAAAAAAAAATCTAAACAAACAACCCAACAAAAACAAAATAAACACAACCAAAAAACACCAAGGTAAACAAAACAAGTCTGACAGCTTTAGTACTTATATGAGGAATTTGGGTAAACACGGAGTGCCCCGATCGAAGGGCCCTCTCATCTGGGAGTGCAAAGACATGAATTTTCAAAATGGTGTGTGGGCTTCACAAATGTTTTGGGTCTTTTGTCTTCTTTCGGCATGGAAATGTCTCCATAAGTCGCCCCACGCAAAATTAAAAAGAAAGAGACTTTAATTTTGTCCTCAATACCTAAGAAACTAGTGAGTTTCTCCTGACGCGGAATTTATTGCCGGCTGCAAATCCGCAGGGCGCACAGATGCCACTGTATTATTATATTTCCTGTGAATCGGGTTTCCTTTCTGTTTCTTTGCTCTATGATTAAATCTGCTACTGATAACCTTCGGTTGGGCCATGCCCCATGGCCTGGTTCAAATTAATGGTGGAATATATGCACCGTTTCGACGTCCATTGCTTGGGCGACCATTGTCTAACTATTGTTAACTATAGTCTTTGCTCGAATTTGCCTTATATATTTAATAATTAAATTTCTGTCGCAAAACAAGAAATAATACTTGCATCCATTGTCAACAAAATGTGAAATATATTGTTACCCGAATTAGGCCTATGTTAAACATTATGTCATGCTTTGTATCGTTGTTAGATATCATCTCGACACCACTCTGCACAAAATAAAACCCCCTCAAAATCTGTGTGTTCAAACGTGTAAGAGATGAAAGCGAATGAAGGATGAAATAATTGCACTATATGGTTGACGGAACCATTTCATGAACTAGCTGTTTTAATCCCAGCCTCCCCTGTAGGCGCGGTACGGGGACAAGTGCACATGCGTAGTAATGTTTGCACTGAAAGTTTACCTTGCATTGAACATGGTACCAGTCTACCACTGGTTGGCGAGTCTGGCGAAGTACCAGTAGAAAGGGTCTATCACGCTGGTTTTCAGGAAACATGCAAGTTTGGGCGCAAACTGACTCGGCAGGCGCAGGACCACGTGTGGAGCTTAAAATGGACCAAGGGAAATTCTAGGATACATAAAGCGCCTTGAATTCCACTAAACTTTGGGGCAAATGCTTGGCATTCCAAGATGACTTGGGCGTGTATATGAAGTTGAACCTGGACCAAATTAGCTTGTCAAGACCCGAGTGTGGAATTGTGACGCTCACCAGGTAAGTGACACGTTCAAAATACATAAGGTCTGACCCATGTCCGACGCCCAAAGCTTGCAGGCGCAGTCTGGTGCAAGGATGAGGTTGAACGCAGCCTTACTCTGTATCGGTCTGTGCATAGCCCGACGCCATCTTGCATCGTGTTTTATTTTGGCCAACGTGCTTTGTTGCACATCTACAAGCTTAGGCTACGTTCAGGCGTATTCTAAACTCATGAATGCTCAGTAAAGCTGAGACTCAAAGTCTCCATGTCGGTTTTATTTCGTTGTTATGGTAGGCACAGGGGCCTCTAAATATGTCAAAGGCTTAAATGCGGAAGGCACAAATACTTGCAATGCAGCAGACGGTCAGGCCGCCAAGCTGTTGGAATGCACTACCGCACGCTATGTCTGTGTGAATATTGTTTCCTTGTGTAATAGTCTATCTAGGCCTAGGCCTAGGCCTATATAATTAACCCGAGTGTAGGCTATACCCAGCAAGAAATGAGACCGAGGGTACCCCCCAACATGTCCAATCCCTATACACATTCCAGACTATTGTTACTTAACACATCCCCCAAGATGTCTGACAGGAATTCCCCAGATTCCTGCGAGACAATGACCAACAAAAAGCACGGGGGTTCTCTCCGTCTCATACGTTGCTAGATATGCCTGAGTGATAGGTAGAGGCCTATGTTTATTCCCCCAAATTGCGCACTATTCAAACTTCATATTATCACAGGCCGACTCCTTTCCAATCGGCTGTCCGCCCACTAAAATCAACCAAAGTAAAGCAAAAAGAAACTCCCGTGAACAAACAAATCCGAACAAAACCTAAACAAAATCAAAAACGCCCCAAAGCTCGCTCGGCCAACTGTTGGAATTAGGTCTATGCTCAATTATCGGCTTCAAAGCGTGCCCATTAATCTCTGGAACAAAACTCCACCTGCGTCAATCGAAAGTCACTGTAACTTTTCAAAATGGTGGGTAGTCGAGGTTAATCGATGCTTTTGGTGATTCGGTTGTGTTCAGAACCACAGATTATCGCATAAAAATCCATTCGTCTAACTCCTCGCTCACACTGGAGCCAATTTATCACCGACGCTGGACAGACTGGTTAAAGTAAACAATATTTTAAATGTAATCAAAGACAAAATACCAAAGTTGTAATCACATCATCATTCGCAGTTTCAAGTCATTAATTGCCAACCACTATACTGCCAACATGCATAATAATGTAACCCTATAACGGCTAGGGCTGGGTTTAGTAGACCCGTCTCTACAGTTAAGAAATGATAGGCAGTGAATATTAAGCCGTCACCGGCAAATTCAACTAAAAAAATATTTTGCTGGGCACATGCGCAGTAACTTGTTTTGACTTACACATTCTTACCGTGACAAATGTCAGTCTGGTTTTGCCCCGTTGTGACTTGGCGTCACGAGGTGGGAATCAGAACAGTTAACAATTTTGGACTTTTCCCCTTATAATTATGCCGAGCGTACATGTACTTCGAATTTGGTGGAACTTTTATAAGAGCCTCTACAGGCTAAATCGTGTATAAACATCAAACGGGGGGGGGGCACTGTCTCCTTCTAGCCGGTTAACTATGGTTTAGTTAAATTTGCCGGCGACTGCTAAATATCTATTGTATATTGGACATGCATAGACCCAGGCTGCGTATTCCCTGGAGTTTGAATTTAATCAAAAGATAATAATGTCATTGATATTTTCACCCTTGCGCCCGTCTACCGAGCCCCGTGCAATGATGACTGCAGTCTATGGGAAAACTTAACGATGTTGGCTATACTCGCTTAAAAAAAAGAACATTTCGAGAGAACGGTATGTAGGATATTTATAAAATTGATGTCAATGACTTGTCGGGAAAAACATTCTTTGGGTTATTTGCATTAAAGAGTGGGTTGTGACAACTTTATAGAAAATGTAAAGGTTATTAATTCAATGCTGTGGAGTTAGGTGCTATTCATAATTACGTCTTATGACACAGACATTCTTTTCTTTGGTCAGTGGTATTGTTAATCCCCACTCACTGGACGTGTGGCTGATTGGATTCGAAATCGGCAAAAGAAAGACAACCATTAAAAACGAAAAGAGCCCACCTTTTTCCCAACAGGCATGACATCTGCCCGTTTTGTTTTATTCTTTGCTCTTTATACTTGTTAATAGCATAATAGTGTGTGAAGTAAGAATAAATACTGGCAAGTCATATGTACAATTTTACATGTTCGGGAGAAAAATAACAGTGTGTACATGAAGCATTCGTTTGTTCTTTACATGACTGAAATATATATAAAACCCAAATATGAACAAATGTACAAAATCTGATTGTTATAAATGAAAGTATGAAATATCTGTACATTAGATTTACTACATTCGTATTAAGACCGGCGAGCGATAAAATAAAGAGAAATTATTTTTTTACAAATACGTGTTTTTCGTTTGAAATAGACTAGCGTACAGACAAAGAACTAGACAGACGCAGAATCTTAATTGTAATTTAAAATTCGGGACACTTACAGTATAGCGTACTACATATTAGATATGTGCCCTGTTTATCCTTAGTACTGCCGTGTTAAAATAAATAGCTGTATTTATGATGTTGACAAAACATGATTTCCAATTAATCAAAAACCCACACAATTTTTATACCAGACTGGAAAGACATTGTTATCTTTATAAGAAATTAAACTGGACCTAATAATATAATGAATAAATTCTTCATATTGAAATTAATACGCAGAGATACAGCAAAACAAAACCATCACCGGGCCTCTGTATACAATAAACAATTTTTAAAAAAAGAAGAAAAAAATGATGTTTACATGGCCAAACCATAATAAATAGTTTTAATTTAGCGCAAATAACGAAAGGCTTATATTTAATTCCAAACTAGTGCACACCGATGAAGAGGAAAGAACTAAACTAATCTTGAAGATCTAAAAATAATCTTGAGACACCAGTAACAAGTGTGAACAATCCTGTGCTGTACGGAACACAGTACATAGCAATCTGGAGATGAATAAATTACATTTCGACTACGTATTTCTGGAAAAAAGGGTCAGTCTCGTGGATTGAAATTGATGAGCGGGTTCTAAATGGCTGATGAGAAAAGAAATATCACTTAATTCTAAAGAGAAAATCAGCAAATAGAGGTGTTTGAAAGGAGGCACATGGCTTTCATAAAATACCTGGAGTGAGTCCTTGGAAAAAGGAACATATAGGAGTTTTTTAGAGTTTGATTTATCAGTGATTTCCTGGCATATGTGATTTGAGTGTTTTATTAAACATGATTACCATGTATACTGTACTAAAACAGCGAAAGGTAAAATTACACGCTTCACGTTTGTGCCTACTGCTAATATGTCATGAATGAAAGCAGGTGCGAAATTGTACACATGCTTGCACCCACAGCCCCTTCGCGAATGAGGTAAACATGATAGAAATACTGCACACACAATTACTGGAATGTTTGAGACTTTCCCCTAAATATGAGTTTCTTTCACTCACTCTAAAACTTCAACTGGCTTTCCTCACATTTGTATTTCAGTGGGGTCGTACAACTGCAAGTGAGCTCCCCAGTAGTTTTGAATGTAATGGCGTTTCTGATTTCGATTACATCATTGCACTGGTCGCTAAACAGTTGGACTTAAATGAAAAGGTTTAAGACCCGTCCTTAAGGCAAAATAGATTTGGCCTAATCTGGTGTCTATTTTGTGCTTCATGTTTTCGGCAAGGTCTGCCTTATTCTAAATTCAACGCAAGGGGCATGCAACAGTCACTTCGGTCATGTCGGATGGACTGAAGTTCAAACGACTTTGGGTTTAGTTTGATACATCCTTTCTCAACCAAGATCAAGTTGTACCCCTCAACAAAATCACGAAGATAAACTTATAAAGACTTTGAAAAAAAAACGCGTACGAAATGTCTTCACAAAGTTCAGAACTCGAAGTAAGAAGGTATAGCACTTTGGAAGGATCCAGAGGTTCTCATTGTCACAAGTCAGTACCACTCTCAGAATCAAAGTCGAAAAGGTCCTTTTTGCCGCCTTGCGCTTGCTCTGACGGCTCAGGGTCCTGGAACAAGATGATGTTTGTCTCTCTCACAGGCCCTTCTGGCTTGGCTGTTGCTCCCACCAGCGACTGCAATGACGCCGACGACGGGGGTTTATGAATGCTGCTTGTGCTTGGAAGGCCACTACTTAAGCTCGTCTCCAGAATCCCGCTGCCAAGACTCGTCTCCAGGACTCCGTCTCTCCTTTGGACGTGGACAATGTCTTCGAAACGAGTCTCCTTGGCACCTGGCTTCGTCCGGGCAACGAACCCACCACCGTTGTTGGGACTCTTCACGGGACTGGAGTGCGGACCATTATTGACCCCGCTTGGGTTGGAAGTCGAGGCAGTCGCTGGCGAGATGACTTGAAGCAGACGCACAACTGCCTTGAGGTCTTGGCTAAGGTTAGACACGTCTTTGCTAAGATTAGATACCTGCATTGGTACATCAGTCATAAGTTAGTCAATATTAATGATACAGTTGGCAGGTAGAATTTGAAACTGGGAGATGGCAGGAAGAGAAAGCATATTCCTTTTTACTACTCACCTGTCGATCAAGTCTCTCCACGCTATTTCTCGTGTATTCAATCTCGTGCTTGAGATCCTCTGTACAAATCGACTCTGAAGACACCGACCTGGACCGGGAAACTATGAGAGAGGCAAACACTGGATATTAAACACTGCACCGCCATCTCTTTTTTGGAAATATTTCAGCACACCTGACGTTCAAATTCAGTGGAGGCGTCAACAGAGCCCAACAACTACTCGTTTTTCTCCGCTCATGTATGGAATGTACCTTTAAGACAAAAATCGACTTTGGGCACTCGATATTTGAAAGCAAAGCACGTTTGCATTCGTTCCCTATTTCTGATTACAACACTCTAGGCCCTGTCCTTTGACACTTGTTTCAACATTTCACTCACGAGGGAGTACTCTTCTATTGGGTAGGTTTGGCACTTGTTCTCTGCCTGACCACGCACCCGTTTAGTTGTTGAAAACTGGTTTTTAACATTGATGCCGGTTGTTGGTGTTAAAAGGATTGGATGAAAGCCAATGTTTTGTATTGGTTTAAAGAAATTCTAATGGGCCACCTTCTCCTGAACATGAAAAGCTACAGAGCAAACGTCTGGAATTCTCACCACCGGCTCTTCTCAGAGCCAATGCTTCCTGCCAAAGGAGGTTGACTCCAGGGTGAAGCTTGAGCTTCCTTGTGTACATGTACCTCCCTGCTATGTATGCTTCCAACAGTGCTTACCGTGCGCCAATTGAGGCGATGTGAAGCTCTGCCTCATGCCTGAGTTGTAATGATTTATGAGTCTCTGCTTGGGAGCCATTGTCAAGCTGTGATGTCTGGAGGCTTGTTGGTGGGTGTTGGGAGAAAAATCAAACCGGTGCTCCCGCTTGTAATCGTTGGTATTATCCTCGACCCCATCAACAACCCTGGAACAAGACCGAGGCAAACCTTAATAGGGTGGGGTTTATGTGAAAAATGGAACCGTGCGTCCGTATAGGGAACCGTTTCACTGCCAGTTCCAGTTCACAGTACAAAATTACACCTGTGTTTTATTTTAACGTGCAGTACACAATTACCTCTAAATACGACCAACCAATAAAATATCACTTCTTGAGTAATATTTGACACATTTTAAAGACTGTAGGTGTTAAGTGGGACAGTGCAGCCTGAGTGTCCTCTGTCAGAAGGACATTGTAAAGGGCTATTAAAACGTGTATCCAATACGGGCATTTCACAATAGTGCGCCTCCAAGAGTTAACAACGCGTTGACCAATCACAGCGCTAAATCTGTTGACTGAATGTGTGTTTGGAAAGGGTCGACAGATTTCACGCACTGTGATTGGTCAACGCGTTGCAAACTCTTGGAGGCGCACTATTATGAATCGACCGTATTCATTCGCAAGAATGATACCACGAACACTGATCTGGAGGGATCATTGACCCAAAGTCGTCAAAAGACGACCGTCTTTGGTGAAAGAAGACCATTGTGCGCAAGCTCCTTCGAATGAAAAAGAGGGAATTTGTAACCTTCGGGGATTGTTACCTGGGGCTGAGATCAGGTGGTAGGCCACTGTTCACTGAGTTGTTGACATCTAGCAGCATATGCTTGTTCTTGTCTAGAGGCCTCATTTCAATGGTTTCTGTGGCAACGCTTCTGCTCTCCACATCTTTGGCTTTCTCGGCATGGGCGGCCTCTTCCTCCTCTTCGTCGTTGAGTTCAGAGATGGAAGTGAGGCGGGAAGGGCGGCTGTCTTCGTAGTCTGGTGCAAACGGGTCTGGCTGTTAATATTACAAGTTAGTTAGTATTTCTTTGTGCTAAAGTTTGTTAAAAGTGTGCACTCTTTTTAGAAAGCACATTTTAGATTCATCTGCCAGACATTTGCCAACGGTTATGCAATACTTCGACCAGTAATTTGTCACTGCTTATATTATAACATCGCACAGTGACGTAACCGACAACTGTATTGTATTCCTAGCGAGATTTTTTAAAGATTCCTTCCTGACTTCATTGGTGCCATTCCCCTTTCAGCGTCGGGAAAAGTAGCGTTAAGTCTCGGTTACATAGAATCATTGCTAATAATGATCTAGCTAATTTCCTTTCATGTTACATCCGCTGTCACTGAACCTAACTGACAGGTTTCTTAACGGCGCAATCGTAAGCCGAATTTTCCATAGTGATGCATGGGGCTTTCAAAATAAGTCAACAACCTTACAACTCGAGTGGAACACAGGGAGCACAATTCTTACGTCTTGATCACACCCCTCCCTCAGATTGAAGGTCAGATCTCTGGAAATCTCTTCCTTGAACTTGGACAAGTACTCTGGATAGTTGTTCAGCACATCTTGCAGTTCATGTCTGGAAATAAAAAAATATGAAAAGAATACTGAAAAATAAAAAAAATAAAAAGTAGTCTTGAATTAAAAAGTGAAAACTAGGCTGGATTATTAACACTGCAAAATGAATAACCTGCTAGTTTTACCGTCTTGAAATTTAAAAGCGAGGTAATCCCCTAAACTATCTTTTATAACTTATGACAAGTAGGAATCAAAACAATGCCGTATACGCAAGCTACAGATTTTTTCTCTGAATAAGTAAAAAATGAAAGATAACCTGTAATCATTGCACAAAAGTCGTCATTCAAAAGTGTGGTCATTTAATAAACAGATTAATTGAACAGCACAGCATAAAATGACCACCAATAGAATACCCCGCCTTATTCTGCAGATGGTAGGCTACTTCCACATTCAATTAAGTTTTATATAAGCGTATGTTATTTATGTTGAAGTTTACCGTTATGAATACGCAAAAATAGAACAAAAAGTTGCCACAATGCCGTTGATTGACATTTCAAGAACAGCATGGGCCTACTTACCTTGAAACTAGCATCAGATCGCAATAGGTCAACGCATGGACGTCTCCACTACTCTGAATACATGTATCTGTGTCGTAAAGATCACAGCCAAATAGATCCCCCTTTCCTGAAAGTTCAGTATGAAGATAAATTTGTAAACTCTGCATTTTGTAGCCAAACAATGGTGTTTTCTTGGAGCCAGCCACCTTTATCGAAATATACCTATTGCCAGACTTCCGCCACGTTTTGCTTCAGCTCAATTTTAGAGGTTAAATTTCGCTGAAACTAATGCACCTACTTTTTCAGTCGTATCAATAACTATGAATTGAAGTCACTGTGATTTTTCACTAACAGAAATTTAAAAACATTTAACTTTGAGATCATGACGTTTTCCATAACAAACTGAGAACAGAAAGAGACATGTGAAATTACGAGGTACGTCGCCCGTCTGTGCGGTTTTGTACAGTAAAAAAAAATAAATAAAAAATAAAAAGAGAATACTTACCTAATATTGCCACAACCATTCCTTGTCTTAAGATCTCCATTGAACCGTTGAGGAGAAAATATAAAGAATTTAAGGAGTCTCCCTGATGGATGATGTACTCCCCAGGTGCACAGAAACCCGTTTTCACCCTAAGAGACAATGACCTGGCAAACAACAACGACACTTTTTGAGTGCTGTGTTTATTCTAATATTGGTAAAACATAGATATAAATAATAATCAGATTTTTTTTCATTTCTAAAAGCATCAAGTTGTCAAACAATACAAAATCTGAACAAAGAACGCAGTTACTTTTATGTGTTTGTACGAGATCTGTTGAAAACCGTGGAAAGTTCACTAATTTGAAAGAGATGTATATACATCTAAACAAAGTTCCTATCCAACTTTTAGGACCATGCCATTTCTTGTTTACCTAAGGCATCCTTGGCTAGCCTCACCAAATATAGGCAATTGTAAGAACTCTTTGTGCAAGTGCATTGTGACATCAGCTCTCAGCTCCTCTGGAAACCGATGCAACATCTGAAAACAACAAGTTTCATGAGCAATTTATCCAAATCCAATGAAGTGCCCGAGGTGCAGGCCCCAACAATGACTTCAAAAAGATAAAGTCTATAATGTTACGCGAAGATTATGTAAATACAGAAAACTTGAGGCAAAAATTGAGATAAACGCTCGCATGTTCACTACACGATGGTACAAGTAAAGACATAAATTTTAGCACATGTACTGTGCAGCGCACACTCTCATGGCGTAGTGACACCACTGTCTTGTTACAGTCTTATGAACGTGTACAGTCAGTGACAAGCACATGCGGTGTGGTGTAAATGGTATGTGACAACACTAGACGCTCTACGTCAGCATACAGGGCAGTGTGACGCCACACACACCGTAAGACGGTAGAAGAAACACAACGACACTTCGGCATTTTGACGGCACTCGAGGCACAATAATGACAATGCACGCGGCACAATGACGGCATAAAAATTGGTACAACACACACGACACGAGAGAGTGTTTGATGACAAGGATATTACTCAGAGTACGGGACGGCTATTGCTGAATGTGACGACTTAAAAGACACATACAGCGCAGCGATGACAAGTTTGGCACAGTTGCGATGGTAATTAATATTAAATACTCGGTGTGTACAGTTTGACGATACAGTCAAATACAGTCAACTAAACAGGGGTCTCGACAGAAGGCCATGTAACTTACAGTACCGAGTGTTTTTCCATGCGACGTAAAGTTGTGTGAAAGAGGCATGTTCTTACATGTATTTATAAAAATCGTTGTACCTTAATACCATTAGCCTACCTCCATGGTATCGATACCCATGTTGTTCGACCACGAGGTGTTGAAATACTCATTCATCCTCGTCTTCAGGTTTGCCGGAATGTGGTGAGAACGTACAAAGTCTTTAAGATCTCTCAACTTGAGGTGATAAAGTGCTCGTCGGGAGTACATCCTTTGCACAATGGCTGTCACATTACCGAATACTGCAGCGTGGCACAGTGCTGGTCGAGTATAGAAACAACAGTGTTCAGGGCGATAGTACACAAAATTGAAATAGGAATAGCAGTAAAAAATGGAGAGCATGCATTTTGAGAGACGCATTGTTTGGTTGAGGCTTTGAGGAAGGCAATTTGTCTACAATGTGAGACGTTACAATAGCTGTCCTGTCCAAATGAAGCTATATTTGCATTCAAATGTTCATTGTGTATCTTACAGTATCCTAATTACAACTCGACAGCAAGTTTTTGGTCCTTGTACGAGGGCTGTTCTTTTCCAGATAACAACATGCGCAAGGGTTTGGCGGCACTTTACCCACCTCCAATCAACATGACGATGATTGTGAAGATTTTCTCGATGTCCGTGTTTGCTGAGACATTCCCAAAGCCGACGCTCGTAAGGCTACTTAATGTGAAGTACAACGACGTTATGTATTTGCTTGCATCCCTTGGGCCGCTGTCAGAGTCATTTCTGACGATGGGTGTATTCAAATCAACTCCGAGGTTATTAATCCACCCTGCAATTTAAAAAAAGGAGGATTAAAGTCACAGATGAAGTTATCTGTAATCTAGCTGTAATCTTTACGGCAGAGTCTTTAGAATTGTTAACACTGACAATATAGTTTGGATTTTATCTGAATGTTGTAATTTGTTGTAATATCACAATATATAATTTAGATCAAACCATAACTTGTAATTTGGAAAAGGGGTATATAATGACACGTGCATCTTTTAAAAGTTACATTTCACAGACGACTGGAGAAGAGTTCACTCTGAGCTTAAATGCTATTGGTCATTTTTGCTCCAATTTCTTAGCTGGATTTTTTTTATGGCACGCACTCCATGATCTGAGGATTTTAGAGGTCAAAGGTCATTAATTGCCTGCAATACAGTATTTTATTGTCTTTGTGAAGTGTGGAAAACACAACTTACAACCTAACAAAGAGCATAACGATCTTGCAGACTGAACAATGTCGTGTCAGAGAATGTTATTTCTCACACTAAGGACAGGACAATATTTTTTGCATCTGAATTTGTAAGTACATGCACTAAGTATCAGTTTGTTTGCTTTTCTCCGAATAAAGAGGTATGGATTTTGGAGCATTTAAGGGGTAAACTTTTTTTCTGATTAAGAGGAAAAAAAGCTACTCACGAGACACCATATACCAGCATGTTTTTACACATAACTTCAGTTAGGAGTGTGTTCAACTTCGGCTTCTGCTGGACTTTGCAAACACCACCAGATGGTAGGTATAGCGCATAGGTCAGTGCAGTGGGAGAGATTAGCGCCCACCCCTGAGTGTTTTACTTCTTGCCAGTCAAGAACAGGGCGTATATTGGAACTATGCAGTTCAAGTAAGCCACCGTCATCGTTTGCTTACCGAGGTTCCAGGTTTCCATGTTTCCTCTCTCCATAGTTCCTATTCCATACCACACACAGCCCAGCCAGTGAGCCAACAGGGCAAAGGCAATCATCAGGAATGTTAAAGTAATGGCACTGTACTGTGAGTAACGCTCAATCTTCTGCAGCAGGCGGAGTAACCTCAGCAATCTAGCCAGCTTCAGCAGCTGAATGGTGGCAACCTGTAATACCGCAAGTCAGAATGCAAGTACAATGTATTGTAAAGGGTCTGTGGCAAAGGAGCACCTTCGTTACAGTACACTGAATAGAGAGATTGCACTCCACTCTTTTTCAGTGGTTCCCTGCCATGTAAAAGGAGCTATTACTGAGTACCAACTGCAAGGGGTCTATAGCGCACGACTTTAGGCTGGATGACTTGTGATGAGTATGTTAGGTATCTCCCACGTAGTCATCTGTAAATGTGAGTGGTTTATGGCTAGGAAAGTAAAGGCAGGAATATACAATGGAAACATCATTCAAACAAATGGTTCATTAAAGGTTCGATCTGTTCTCGTCTAGCACCCCAACTTCAGTTTTCTCTTTACCAAGTAACCGCTCAACCGTGAAACGTCCATTATACTAATAAAAAAGTCGACAGTTGAAGTTGCAGGAGCAGGGTCCATTATTTCGTCCTTTCTGAATTTCCTTACCGTCTTGATATTGGACACTGTAACAATGAAGTCGAAGGGAACGGCTGCAAGAACATCGATGAAGAACCACGTTTTGACATAGTGCATAGCAATTTCTTTCCTCTCGTACACCACAACACCCGTCTTGCTGACAAATGTCGTTGTAAAATTTACACCAATATCTGTTGAAGAGAAGCATTTAGAGGGAAAGGTTAATTAAAAGCAAAGGGAGAGACAACTCTACATAAAATACGTGTACTTCATAATTTTCCTTGGATATTTCACTTACCTTGGAGCACCCCATCTTGTTTTTTATGTCCGTCTTTCCTTTTCTTTCCAGTTTCTCTTTCTATTTTATACGGTTTGATGTGGTTTGATATGGTTTGGTTTCATCAGCACCAGTCGGTGCACTAAAGGTTTACTCTTGTATCGTACATATCCCTCGTTTGCAACCAAAGCTAGCATAAGTTGTCATTTTTAGAGGCTGCCATTCAAAGGATCTCTACTTATCTTCTCCCCTGTATGGCAAGAACATATGTATTCATTGGCCGGTAATTGGTAACATGTTCTTTGTTTAATTGGTGACTGCATGATTGGCTTAACGCTAAGGAAATGGCGAACTTAATGCATACAGGGTTAAACATTTCATGTTTGCAACGATTCCTGTCTCCTTTACGAAGAGCTGGACAAATTACACAAGTAACCTAGGACGTATTTTGAATGTCTCTTATTTGTAGTTTCTTTTCTCCGACTCAAGAAAGTTGCCACGGCATAGCTGAATAGACGGATGAATCTACCCATGTTCATAAGGCTCTAGGAACAAGTAGTTCGTGAAACCTTTGTAGACACATACCAACACCCACACACCAGAGTTGTAATGACTCGAGTCCCGATGGGTTAATGACTCGACTCGAATCTCTCATGGAGACTAGACTCGAGTACAAGCTTATAGGACTCGAGTCCCAAAATTTTTTAAAAAATTAGTTTGCTAGATACCAGTCACCCTAATTTATTTTCAGTACATGTATGTGAAAATGAAAAAAAATACCAAAAAATGATTCACATGTAGTTGTGTTTTTATTGTTCAAAGATTTGTGACTCAAATGGACTCGAACTCGGTAATTGACTGCACTCAACTACACAGAATGACTCAACTCAAGTCGACTTCTTGACCGAATGGCTTGCCTCAAGTCACAATGTTAAAATGACTCGAATCGAGTCACCAAATTTAGTGACTCGTTACAACACTGCCATACACACTTGCTTTTGGCATCCTGTGTTTTCTGTAGCAAAGAAAATTTGGAGAAAAATAATCACTTTCTCTCATCGCTGTAGCTGTAGTTTTTTCCCACAAGTGTTCCTCCTCATTTTGCGAAGATATTTTGTAATACCAAAAAGACTGGTTTTCAGAGAGGGGAGATATTATGTGGACCTGTGAAGGTGCACACTTCTTCGAATCTTGTGGGCCTATTAGTTGGACCTACTTTGTTCTCAGGTCTACACAAAGTATGTAAAACAAACTCACAGTTAAACACGGGGCCGGGGAACAGACTTGGATCTGTAGTTAATACAAGCAGTCCATTTCAGAGCTGTAAATAGAGAGAGTAGCGCAAACGTCAGATTTTGGAACCAAAATCGCTGTTGGTTATGTGTGCAGTGCCACATGCAGATATTGTGCGCTTAATCGTTCATGAGCACTGACATCTAATCCACCACTTTCTTTCGAACAATTGAGACACTCCCGTCGCAACTCTCGCTATAAACAGCTCTGGTCAATTCCACGTCACGCACAAAGGGACCGCCACTCACCGGTGAGAAAGAGAACTTCCACCATGATATCTAATACTGTTGTGACTGTGTGCTTCTGAGGTTTTACTGCTACATTGTATGGCACTACGATGGCTATGTAGAGGGTGGCTATCAGTACCAACCAATCCCATATTGACTTGAAGGTGCTGTAGTGGAGGATAATAAACTTAGACTTCTTCATGGCGGCCACCTTGTACTCGGGAAGGACTGTCCTCTTGGGGGCTAATAGGCTATGCTTTGGGTACAGAGAGAAAGAAAAAACAGTGAGGAATCAGAAATGTTTAAAAAAACCAATAGAATTGCCATCCACTCATCTGTTGTCAGTAAGTCTCGAACCGCTAGTTATTGAAATAAGCTGTGACAAATGGAATTCATTCGACATTCCTGGTTCCTTTTGATTAATAAGATTGAAATGCTTTGAACCAATAGTATTACATTGCCGTCCAGTTCTTGTTTTCTGTGAATGTATGAAAGCTGTTTTGTATTTTTTACATGAATACGATTGGAGATCGATGAAAACATTAAGGTATGCTTATATTATAGGATGACTGCAGTTTAACTTCTACATAATCTATTATCTCTTGGCGTCTTACTGATTCTTGTTTTGGAATTGTTGTGTTGGAAATTTAGCTCGAAATTGGTGTTCAGTACTTTTATTGTGATACGTATGGAAATCCGAAAGTCTTACAATGCAAGGAAAACAAGGTGAAGGAGTTTTTTGTGAGACTTTTGTGATCAAGTAAGCACGCATTCCATATTAGATACTTCCTCAAACGCACTTTGAGCAAATGCAAGTACTTGAAAACGAGTACCGATGAAAGACGAAGCCGGATGACGAATCGACAGGAGATGCTGTCTGTCGTCAGTGTGATGTAAATTTGCGTTAATATGAAGCGCCAATTACCATGACAACAATTGCCATCATTGGTTGTAGTACCAGATAACAAACTTGTACTTAGGTCAGACGACATTAAGAACTTTGATAGGCAAGCGGATACTCGTGTTCATTATAGTAAACGAGAATATGAAAGGTACGCGTCTCGAATGAGTATGCCCGTAACGTATCTTCAGTTAGCACAGGATCTTGGTAACGTGTGGAGCATTAAATGCCTGTATGACGTCAAGAAGAGCAACTCTTTATTCAGGTACAAATTCAGGATTTTTTTAAGGGTGGTAGTCTGACCTTTGAAAGCAATTTGGTCCCTAAGTGCTTCCGACCCCCGGAAGTAGTGGCATGGTAGAATTGGCATCAGTATGAATGAGTGAAGAGCTGTACTAATGTCACACATTTTATGCAAAAGGTTTCCTTTTTTTCAAACACCTGTCACTTTCTGTTAAAATAGGCAAAACTGGAAAGAGGAGGGGTCAGAACATCTGTAAACCCCAGATCCATCCTCAGTTATTCATGGATGCTGCTAGTTAATGATTTCATGTAGCGTCTGTCAGATCCTAAGACCTACACTGTTGAGTTTAAGTTTTCTCCGTTTTTTCTTCTCTTGCTCCTTGAGATGTCCGGACAGATGGTACAAGACAGCCCTGCTCCGCCTTCTGGCATAGTTGTAGTTTGATGGGAGCTCGTCACTGTCGCTGAGGTAGTTGTTCGTGTCATCTTCGTCTTCGTTCTCGTCGTCCTCGTCTTCACCATCACCTGAAACAGAAATTCACAGTCAGAACACTGTAACATGCGTGTTCGACTGTGTGAAAACTTCTCCTGAGATCTACTGTCTGATATGAAATGCACGTGAGAGATTTGTTTGAAGTAATAGGGAGAGAGAAAAGTCTTAAAATTAATTGAGGAAATTTACATTCGAACTGAAAGAAAGGGACAGTAATATCTCCATCAAGATCAGAAAAGAGACGGGATAGACAGTTTGATCAGTAAGCGGAAACTTACACTCCACCTGGAATTTAAACCTTCAAATTTCACACTTAAACTGAATGAGGCAGTAAAATATAACATCCAAGTATTTAACTTGCTTGTAAGCGAGTACCAAATGGGGAATACGGGATGCTTGAACGAGTTCGATTTATTGGTGTATATATGTCATAGACTATAGTAGAGATGTTATTGAGACTGGGTTAGAATTTGAGAGTTATTAATTTCATTTTTGTCATCTTGTCCGTTTCGTTAAAATGCTTACACAGTAAATGTTTATGTGCATGGTGTCACAGTCTTTGTAATTAGTCGCTGAAATGTGATTCAAGTCATGTCTGTAGTAATTTTTCTCGCAGTGATCCAAGTCAAGTGTGTGATTCGATTCGTCTTTGAGACGCCGAAAGTGTGACTTGAGTCGGACTATTGTCGAGTCACTGACTCGAGTCATTGCAACTCTGTAAAAAAATGTTATCTATGTCTTCGGAGTTAAAAAGAACAGGAGAAAACTGGCGCTGTGTCCCCTAAGAGACGGTAATTCGTGATTGCATGCCTCTGAGTCCTTGGCTAAAAACACGTCCAGATTGCTTTCAAAAACTATATATCGTAAAAGAATATAGCTGCATGCCATTTTTCAAAAATAAAACCAAACCATCAAAATGAACCTTTATGTCTAAGCTGACCTTATCTTAATTTTTTTGCGTCACTATCTCAAAGGGTATTCAACTGCCTTTGTGGTTTTATGCTAATGAGATTTTCCATAATTATTTGCAAACCTGTGATGGCATCCCTGAGAGTCTCACTGTTACTTTGATTTCTACACAAAAAAGTCCTCAAATTTTGTAGATTTTGTAAATTGTCGTCTTTGCTGATTCCTCGTTGCTTATGTGCATAGCAATAAGCAGGTATCAGTCCTTTTTCAGTAATGTTACCAGTGAGCGAATTCTGGGTTCACGATTTCAACATGCACTCAACTATGTCTTCCTTGAATGACATCATATCAACAACGCCCTCAGTTGTCAATGAAAGCGTTGGTGTTCTGAGTGTTAAAAATAGTGCGCTTTTCATTGCATTTAACTAAATATGAATGTAAAAGAGTTTATTTTCATTCATTGGAAACAGAGTCAAAATTGCAGAAACCTTGTGCCCAAGAGAACTTTATTAACAGTAGGCCTATAGAATATTATCTCCCGCTCATCCACATGTAGAGGTGGAAAATTATATGAAAAAAAAGAGAAATCCTTCGTATGTGTTTCCATTTGTTTTGCCTGACCTCTTGTGGCACCGTCAATATCTTTCATTTGTTTAGTGTAATTGGATACTCAGTGCACCAGCCTCTGTAGGTGGTCTCTTGTGACATTCGCGAATTGTCAACGATGACATGATAATTCGTAGCTTGATGAGAGAAAATGCTCTATCCCGTTAGGAAAACAAAATATCCTGTCAAAGATTTCGAGTTGAATCCAGTCAATCTTACCAAGCAGCCCCTCAAGGTGGCCCAGACTGAGATAGAAGGCTTGCAAGTGAGTCCTGTCTATGGCTTTGGGTCCTGTCACTATCACTTACAAAAAATAGACGTCATCGACGCAAAACATCCCTGGAAATTGTCACTAATCTGAAAAGCACCGACCTTTGCCTCGCTCTGGACACATTTTGCTCAGCCTAAACAGGCTACCACTCAAGTGTACATGTAAATATGCCGCTTTAGGTTGATTTCCAGCTAGTTTGAGTTTTCCGTATTCATTTTACGGAGAAGAATTTTCTGTAAAGCCCTGCCATATGATCTTCGTGACATTGGGCCCAGTCTTGTTAACTGTTCAACTCGCTGTCTCTTAAATAAGTAGTGTACAAAAGGCAATGAACACAGAGACAATTTCCTCGGGGAGATTTTATTCATTTGTAATGGCGTATCTGGTCTGCAATTCAATTGCAATCGATTTCTATGCACGCATCTCTGTCCAGAGCTCGAAGACAAAGTACCCTTGTTGATTATAAAATGAAAATTTCTGATGCGTAGCGATAGAGGACCGGCTGATAGTCATCGGTTTGGGGTGGTCGACATCAAGTCAGCCCTGTAATCTCCGATGAATTGGAAATGCCAGCATCCTTAATCTGCGTCTGGGGGAGCTGCCAATTTTCCAATCAAGACGAAATTGTCGACAGTACTGGAGATTGTTTTGATAGCTGAATATTATTTGAGTTCGGTGTTCTTTGGTGAAAGGTCACGAATAACGACACTGAGAAATGATTATGAAAAATAGCTGCGGTCAATCTTTCCAGGAATTCTCGGGGAGCAGTACCCCTGGAAAATCTTTTCGGTATGATACTGCAGCCGCAAAAGTCTTACTTCCACTGTTAAATGCACTGTGACGGATTTTAAGTATCCCACGAGATTTTAACAGCCAGTTACTGTGGCCGAAAATTTGTATGTTTTTCTGCTGCTCGGTCTAAACGATTTTTTCTTGAAATGTAGTTCAACATCGGTAATGCACGAACAATACAAACGTCGACAGACTATGACTTTGAAGCCTTCATATCTTGTGAATATTTTAGACACACACGAAGCTTCATGCCAGCTGAGAAGTAATTAAAGCTTGAACATCTTACGAATTAAAAAAAAAGGACAATCAAGATCAGGTCTTTTTATGGTATTCCTTGAATTCGCCTTCAAACTGTTTTCATCTACTATACGTAAACACGCCTTGTCCAGCTTGTCCGCGTACAGGGTTGTTTGTATAATGCCAGTGTGTGGTCAGTTTGGATGGGATTAATTTTTTTTCAGATCCACCCATGTGGATAAAAAACTAATCAATCCTTGCTCCATGCAGCGAGTCGGCCTTCCAGGACTACCGGTCAGTAGTTAAAAGCATTTCCCGTGCCTTGCTGGCAATATCGGTACGATCTCTTCTGCTTCATTTGGGAGCGCCCTTTGCTTTTTTTTTTCTTTATTTTTTCTTGACAGGTTGGATTTTTCTTCGGTTCTCACGAGATACTAGACATATTGGATTTTTTAACCGTTTCTCACGAGATAATGCAAACATTACTGAATAAGGCCCAGCAAGCTCTTGTCCGTAATGATGTAACGTAGGGGTATAACAGGTGGTGAATGGTTTGAGAATATCTATTTGTTTATTAAGATCGGTCGTTAACTAACAATTCAAGTAAACTCAATAGGGCCTATTCAATGTCACAATCTCTAGCATCGAATGAGTAATTTTTTATTTTTTGTTAAAGGCTTTATGTACTGTGCTTTTTGCTACCACGGTTACCAGTTGTAGTATTGTTCGGAATTGTTTTGTGAAGTTTTATCAATATTTTAAGGACTCCTTTTATTTATGTTGATTCCAAATCGTCCGGTATATATAGTAAGAACGCGTATTCCAATATTCGATTGAAATACTCGAATATTCCATTATCACTTTATCCATAATGACTTAACCTTACAGTTGATAACACCGAGAACTCTCGGCTCTTTTCTTAGTTTCGATTGAAGGTTTCAGTTTCGCAGTTTATTCCTGAATTTTACACACCCTAGCCCAATACCTATCTTTAGAGTATTTTCATAGCCTACAAAACGGTTCTGAGATCGAGACAGTCGGAAGCATAACATATGAAGCTCAAGTTTAAAAACGATCTTTCTGTCAGAACTTGGAGAAGTCACTTTTTTTTCCGTCGGACAAATGCATTCCAATTTCATGTCATCCATGCCACCCAGATAATGTTTTATTGCAAGGCGACGTCAAAGTAAGACGTTTATCAAAAGATCGCATATCTTCACCCTCTGAATCCAGTCCTCTGTTGTCCGTGTAGTTATGCCTAGTTCATCCTTCCTATGGGAGACTCCTGACACGAGCGTACTGCACACCTTTGATTCAGACAAAAATTGTCCTACAGCTTTTCAGTGTGTTTTAGGTGGGGATGTTGCTTAAGTTTGTTTTTAAGTGAATGATTTGACTTTAATTTCCTGCTCATGATTAAGGGTTATGAAATGAACAACGGCAAGGAAAATGATAAGCCAACTTAGCTTTGTACACCTTTACATATGTTTGTACTGCCGATTCAGTGTCAAGTAACTGTTGTTTATGCAACAGTAAATCAACTCGAAGTCTTGGAAGTTACAAGTGTATCTCGATTTTTTGTAATAACAACCCCAAGTCAAACTATGTGATACCAAGCTTACCTGTATGCCCGTTCACGGAATTCATTGTTTTCGACTTTGTGATGTCTTTGTGCGATGCCAGGAATAGAACAACTTCCGCCTTCTCATTCTTTATGGGAACAATATCCAGAAGGCACCAAAATGGAGTCACTGCATGCGAGAAAACAAAATCAGATTCAGCTTTCAAAAAGCTCTTCATTTCCGCAAAGAGAAATTTGAAGTACTTCGAAAGAACGTATAGGAAGTACAGAGAATTTGCAATTTGGTGGAAAGACAAAACCTTTGCTAAATTAGGCAAACTTGAGGACAACCATATAATTAAATTTCGAACCATTGTCTTGCTTATATATAACAGGTTTGCCCTTACCCAACGTATATTAATAAGCACTGTATGCTCAGTGCTTGTCCGAGAGTTATATATAATTAACATCTCCCCAACGCAAAAATACATCTTGAAAACATTGTCTTGCTGTTAGAAGTTAAAATGGTCACTGAAGGTGTCAACTAAATTAATCGAATTAAAACTAAACTCAACAACGGGGTTGACGTTGTGACATTCTGTTCAATGCACATAATTTACGTGTCTTTTTATTTTGGTGTGTTTTACTTACAGTCTTTCTTCTGGAAGATAACCTCTGTCTTGTACTCCTCTTGGTTGTCCAGCACGGTTTGAATCTCCTCAATTTTCTCCTGCGGAGTGTCTTTACCGAACAAGAACTTACAGGCACAGCTCTTCTGCATGACCTCAGCCCGTGTAAACCCGGTAAGTTCACAGAACCCATCCGAACAGTAAACAATGGGGTAGGTGTTGGGGACTTGTGCGTTGCCCAGGACAAAATTACTGTCTGTGGGGAAATTAAGACAGTTGTTTTGGTCAGAGTTGCCATGTTGCCATCACACGTCTGCAGAAGTCAGTTCAGAATCCACACGCTCACAATCACAAGTCATTCAGATAAAATATCCTACACAGGCGTTGCTTGACATTTCCTCGTCCTCCAGTGTACTTGTGACCCCACATACGACTAGACTTGCAATTGGTTTGTGATTGGTTTATTAGAGACTTACACCCGTGGTTTGGGGTTACAAAATGGCAGCGGTTATTGCTTCGCCAGTTGGAGAAGGGGAGGGAAAAATGAAGACAGCAAAGTGCGCTGCACAGCTCTGCAACACTTGTGATGTTCATATTCATAAATTGAAACACGAGAGAAGAAATTTTCACATGTTGGGAAACAAGTTGAATCATGACTTGATATAAAAAGCGGTTCGGTTAGTATCTGTGAAGTGTATCTGCATCTTGCAGTAAGTATGCTTGGATTTGAATGGAGTGTTTGAAACGAAAAATGCCGATACTTGGCATTATAGTTAATGTAGTTGAATGCGTAGAAGGCTGGGACTTAGTACTTATCAAAAGGCACTTTTTCCCTTGATACAAGTATTGAAGATTTCTATGCATCTTTATATCCGAATTCGAGAAAATGGTACATATCGTTCCCAACTCAATTTAATGAAGTTCAGTTGGGTTCAATCCAGTTCGATTCGATTCGATTCAATTTGATTAATCAAATTAAATCAATTCGACTCCAATCGATTTGATTCAATTTAAGTTTAGTTCAGTTCGGTTAAATCCAATTTAATTCAATTCCATTTGATCCAATCCAAGTTATAAGGCTTTCTTAAAATGTTATGAAAACTATAAATTGATCACGTTTACATCAACATGATGCACATTATCAATTAGACTACAGGCAGCAGTCCAGGATTACACTAAAAATCAAACAGAATTGGTAAAGATAAAACGAAATGCACCCATGTGGAGGTCCACTTGTAGTCTTGCTATGCAGTGTTTACAATACTATTAAAGCGATTGAAAAAGTACCACACTCTCGGGGAGGCATTTATATTGTTCATACATGTGAATGCGATACGTCTTGGGTGCTTCTCTATGGAAAAGTAAGCTTGCAAGAAAAGCACCCTGGGGTAAATCCGTAATGTACACTGATTCCATTGCCCCTTTAAAGCTTTTTATGTAAGGAGTCCACGTTGGGTTGCGTGTCACGTAGTACGAACGAAACTCACTCTCACCGCGGCACTGGTCAAGACCAGTTCACTCGATACTGTTTCCAGCAACAGTACCTAAAAATATAATAGCATGTGCAAATACGAAACGATCAAGCCTTAAAAGGGTTTATATTTACCAGGTTATCATCTGTGTCTCCAAGACAAGGGGCGAAATAACTGGCAATGTAAACACACTTAAAAATTAACCTAAAAATAAGACAGTTGACGGTCGGTCGACTGTGTGTACTTAATGAAGGCTTAGTCAGCGGTGTCATGCAGCCAGATACGCAGCTAGAATTTTGAACATGTTGCACGATGTTTCATCGATACCCCGGCTGCTGTTGAAAACGCACCTTGTGGACTCCTTTTGAAAGGAGAGGTGTAAGTAGCACAACAAAAAAACAAGCCATCAAACAGGGTTAAGTAGCTACGGAAAAGATGGCACTGAATCTCTCCAGCGCGGGACTAGACTGAACCACTGCCAAGCATCGTTGCCCTGCGAGCCTTGCTGATGCTTTGGTGAAATTTTTTTGTTGCGTTTTATGGAAGTTCAAACTGGATGAATTGTAATGTGAGAATGTGAGAGTTAAGACCTGATGTCAAATGTTTAACTCCAGTGTCCTCGAGCAAGCGCGTTCCTTTCCACATCTGATTCTTGACAACTGGCAAATGTGCAGTGCATGGTTATCTACTTGATCGTTAGGAGTAACTTACAATGGACTGGGCAGTGGTCTGAGATATGACTTCACTGCCATGAACTGTGCAAAAACACTCCAGTACACGCTACTTCCGTTCTGAACGCACTGAATGTCATGGCTTTAGATTAGACAATTTATTTCCACAAGTGGGGCTCGAGGTTTCTTTCTTTTCGAGCTGAACTTTTGTAAGTCTTGCATGAGCATTATAGGGTGTTGCAATACTACTTTAAGGAATCACGCTGTTCTTTCATCTTGATCCGACAGGAGTTTCTTGGAAAAGTTCATCGACTGCGATCTAGTTCTGTCGTTAATGATTCTCCCACTCATCTCTAGACTTTGTTGCTCTCAATCCCAGGCAGACAGCGAAGCATGCTGTTATGCTCCATCAAATTTAATTCGCATCGGTTGAGATTTACCCCATGCAGACATTATGTGTTTTGGGGAAAAGTTCAAAATCAGTTTTAGTTATTAATGTGACAAGGCCCATAGGGCAAACAGGTATCATGACTCAGTATACACATGCATCGTGAAATTCGCCTTTAAGCACAATGATCTCTTCAAGGAACACTCTGGAAATCGGACCTTGAAAAAAGGAATATCGATTACTTGTTTTTAGCACAAATATCGAATATCGTTGTATATAAACCTGAACATGTAAATGCAAAGCTACTGAAGTACTGTTCAGTTATAATCATATAACAAATCCATGCAGACCAACTCACAAAGTTTTCTTAGTCTTGAAAACAACGTTGTAGACTAATGGAATTATATGCCAACTCAGTCACATCGTGTGAAACAGGCATGCTTATTATTTTTATCAAAGGCACAGCTTGCAAACTCAAAGCTGATTGGTTAATGAATCTACAGCATAACCTACTTTTCAAATACATGAGTAGGCATATAGCATTCTCGGTACTTAAAATCGTGAGCTGTCTTGGATTGCGTTGGGAGTTTTAAAGAGGCCTATAGACAACAAGTGCAATCCATCTCTATTAGTTTCCGTGCAGTTCCTGCCGTATCCCCTGCAAAGTGTGTGCAGAAGCCGCCCCAGTTGGGACGGAACTGATATAAATGGCAGCATTTATCAGTTATGCCGTGATATTCTGATGACAGATGATGACTTTGTGTTGAACGGCTCCACGCGCCGATATGATTTCCCTGTTTATTCCCCGAGGATATAGAAGGGAGGTTGAGAACAATATGGATATGTTGAAATGTGCAGGCTGAGCGAATTTCCGTGACAGAAAATTTCTTAACTGACCTAAATTATGACACGAATTTATGCGAGTCCTTCATCATATTTTATTTTGTACAAATCTAATTTCAATAATTTTCGATGATCTTTTCGTTGCACCAATCCTTTCTCCGTCGTTTTGCGTTAGTAATTTGGGACATACTCTTTCTTTATGTTGTTATACGTTACATGAGTGTGTATAATTATTTGTTGATTTTTCCAGCTTCATCTATCCAGTTTAATTTACATCAGTTTATTCATTTCTCATTATCTTTTCAAATATACTGAGTTGTTGGACCCTAACGATTGTTTTATAATGGATGTTTTTTTATAATTACTACCAGTAATTTTAGAGGTAACTAAATAATTATTAATTGGCAACCAAGCACACAGCAATAGTTAATTCTGCCATTAAACTTCAAGAGCACTTGAATACATGTAGCACTTGATAAAATATTCCCCGTCTTAAAAGTTGGTTTTAAACGTCGCAGGCTGGTAGCCAGTGCACGTAGTTTCTACTGTGGCGTTTGTTACTCGTGAGGCCAACACACACACACGTACTGCCCCGCTTACGTTACATACCGGTACCTACTGTGGACATTCCTTTGTTTTCATGCAGTTAAGAAAATTCACTCTTCCTTTTACCACACATGACCCCCTACCCCAAAATGCCTCTAAACCCCTTTTCCAGGGAGGGGAAACATTGCATGGACATGTGCAAGTCCACACAACGCCATCGTACCCTTCATTATGTGGACTTCTTTTGTGCCGAGGTCCACACTATGTATGACACGCCTGTACACAATTACAATCTTAACGAGGAGGCTTGTCTTGATGAACCCGGTAGTAGATCTGACGATTGGGGCTCCATTCGCAGAGACAGATCCTAGGATACACGGCGGTTCAGTGGATCGTAACTTGGATTCACATAATATTCCAGTAGCGGAGTATACCTATATAGAGAGCAGAACTAGCCCAATTGAAGATAAGTAAACCGATGTCTGATTTGACTGATGGAATGGCAGAATCGTGTGACCAATTTTTGTTTGTTCTCTCGGTTGATAAAAGAGTGATCCGAGTGGTGTTAAAGGAGCGAATGAGGCTCGTTTGGCTGTAACTGAGATGTCAGTGGTCGCTCTCAGACTGAGGAATAACAGAAATGAAATCAGGTGATGAGAGACCATCCTTGAGGATTGCTTTCAGAAGCAAATGGTAGCACAATATAAGTTGATCGTGGTATAGTAGCCTATGTACTAATACTAAGTAGGCTATGTACTTATGACGTCACACTTTATTCACATGTGCTCTTTCCTGCGGAGTCAATGGGGTCACGGTCCACCGAAGACCATAGAAAAGCACGCACGTAACCAAAGTGTGACCATTATCAGTGCAGAGGTCTTTGTCAAGAAGGCAGTGGGCGTACAGGAGAGGTTATCCAGCGGAATCACGTGGTTGTGATGACGGATAGCCCAACGATTTGTTGACGGTGTGAGGACGGCCATCGGATGTCAAGTATTATGAGGATTTTCCTTTCGGAAATGAATGATAGTACCATTTGGATCGCTAGAGAAAGAGACTACAAACGACCAAAGTGGTTGTCCCAATATTACTTTGATTGATAAGTTCCCGTTGGATTGATGGACAAACAAGAATTAATAAGCTTTCAGCTTGACAATAACGCTTTGATTCTCACTTCTCGGCCTCGATGACAAAGATCATGTGTTTATGTTGATGGCTCTCTTTCAGAAACACGGTTGCGAGTAATTATATCCGGTCCCAATACTATGACAGAATTTACTCTTGAATCTGATGATAGCGGTAACATTTTAGGCTTTTGTGCCGAATGTTTCATCCT